CCATTAAATGCCAAAAACGTTCCTATCAGACTTCAAAAAAATTCCCATTAAATTTAAAAAATCAATTAAACACAAAAAAAAATTCCCGTTAAATACCAAAAAAAAATTCAGCGAAACATGGAAAAAATTCCAGTTAAATTCCAAAAAAATATTCCAACCGAATACCAAAAAAATCCCAATTAAACACCCCAAAAAAATTCCCATTAAATGCCAAAAATGTTCCTAACAGACTTCAAAAAAAATTCTCATTAAATATAAAAAAAAAATCCCATAAAACACAAAAAAAATTCCATTAAACACACAAAAAATTTCCCATTAAATACCAAAAAAAATTCAGCGAAACATGGAAAAAACTCCAATTAAATTCCAAAAAAATACTCCAACTGAACACCAAAAAAAATGCCAATTAAACACCCAAAAAATTCCCATTAAATGCCAAAAAACATTCCTATCAGACTTCAAAAAAATTCCCATTAAATATCAAAAAAAAATCCATCAAACACAAAAAAATTCCTTTAAAGAAACAAAAAAATTCCCATTAAATACCAAAAAAAATTTCAGCGAAACATGGGAAAAACTCCAATTAAATTCCAAAAAAATATTCCAATGGAACACAAAAAAAATTCCCATTAAATGCCAAAAAACGTTCCTATCAGACTTCAAAAAAATTCCCAATAAATATCAAAAAAAATCCCATAAAACACAAAAAAATTCCATTAAACAAACAAAAAAATTCCCACTAAATATAAAAAAATGCCCATAAAACACAAAAAAAATCAATTAAACACAAAAAAAAATTCCCATTAAATATCAAAAAAAATCCCATAAAACACAAAAAAATTCCATTAAACACAAAAAAAAAATTCCCATTAAATATCAAAAAAAATTCCCATAAAACACAGAAAAATTCCATTAAACAAACAAAAAAATTCCCATTAAATACCAAAAAAAATTTCAGCGAAATGTGGAAAAAATTGCAGTTAAATTCCAAAAAAATATTCCAACTGAACACCAAAAAAATCCCAATTAAACAACAAAAAAAATTCCCATTGAATGCCATAAAACATTCCTATCAGACTTCAAAAAAAAATTCCCGTTAAATATAAAAAAAAATTCCCATAAAACACAGAAAAATTCCATTAAAGAAATAAAAAAATTCCCATTAAATATAAAAAAAATTCCCATAAAACACAAAAAATCAATTAAACACAAAAAATAATTCCCATTAAATATCAAAAAATATTCCCATAAAACACAGAAAAATTCCATTAAACACACAAAAAATTTCTCATTAAATATCAAAAAAAATTCAGCGAAACATGGAAAAAACTCCAATTAAATTCCAAAAAAATACTCCAACTGAACACCAAAAAAAATGCCAATAAACCCCAAAAAAATTCCCATTAAAAACCCCAAAAAAAATTCCCATTAAACACCAAAAAAATTCCAGTTAAACTCCTCAAAAATTCCAGCTGAACACCAAAAAAATCCCAAACACCCAAAAAACTCCCATGAAACACTCAAAAAATTCCAATTGAACGTCAAAAAAATTCCAATTTAACTCAAAGAAAAATTCAAATTTAACTCAAAAAAACCTGCCATTAAACACCAAAAAAAATCCAATTAAATGTCAAAAAAATTCCAATTTAACTCCAAAAAATCTCCCATTAAACGCCAAAAAAATCCAATTAAACATCAAAAAAATTCCAATTTAACTCCAAAAAAATTCCAATTTAACTCCAAAAAATCTCCCATCAAACACCAAAAAAAAAATTCCCAAACACCAAAAAAATTCCAAACACCAAAAAAAACCCCAATTAAACACTAAAAAAATCCCATTAAATGGCCAAAAATCCAAAACCCAAAAAACTTGAATTAAACACAAAAAACTTCAATTAAAACATCCAAAAAACTTGAATTAAACACAAAAAAATTTAATTAAAACACCCAAAAAACTTGAATTAAAAAAAAAACTTGAATTAAAACACCCAAAAAAACTTGAATTAAACACCCAAAAAACTTGAATTAAACACCCAAAAACTTGAATTAAACACAAAAAACTTTAAACACCCAAAAAACTTGAATTTAAAAAAAAAAACTTTAATTAAAACACCTCAAAAAACTTGAATTAAACACCAAAAAAAACTTGAATTAAAACACCCAAAAAACTTGAATTAAACACCAAAAACTTGAATTAAACACAAAAAAACTTCAATTAAAACACCCAAAAATCTTGAATTAAACACAAAAAACTTGAATTAAACACCCAAAAAACTTGAATTAAAAAAAAACTTTAATTAAAAAACACAAAAAACTTTAATTAAAACACCAAAAAAACTTTAATTAAACACAAAAAACATTAATTAAAACACCCAAAAATCTTGAATTAAACACCAAAAAAAACTTGAATTAAACACAAAAAACTTGAATTAAACACCCAAAAATCTTGAATTAAACACCAAAAAAAACTTGAATTAAACACAAAAATCTTTAAACACCCAAAAAACTTGAATTAAACACCAAAAAACCTTGAATTAAACACCAAAAAAAAAATTGAATTAAACACCCAAAAAACTTGAATTAAACACAAAAAACTTTAATTAAAACACCCAAAAAACTTAAATTAAACACAAAAAACTTTAATTAAAGCACACAAAAACTTGAATTAAACACCAAAAAAAACCTGAATTAAACACCCAAAGAACTTGAATTAAACCACCCAAAAATCTTGAATTAAACACAAAAAACTTTAATTAAACACAAAAAACTTCAATTAAAACACCCCAAAAACTTGAATTAAACACCAAAAAACTTAAATTAAAACACCCAAAAAAACTTGAATTAAAAAAAAACTTTAATTAAAACACCCAAAAAAATTGAATTAAAAAAAACTTTAATTAAAAC